TTTTTTCCACTTCTCCTGCAAAATTAAAATTAACCAAATATTTCAAAGCATTTTCTATTACCATTCATTTTTGACTGACATCTTACTTGCTGTGTCTTCAAAAAAAATCAGTGAATATATTAACTGGAATTAGACTTGGCACCTGTCTCCAAGGAACTCAATTCAGTAGTTCCTGGTAGCCTCAGATGGAATTTTTAATAACCTTAAAAGAGGCTTTAAAACAAACTTTGTATTTTTTTTGTTTTGTTTTTGGTACCAGGGATCGAACTTGGGTCCTTGCACTTGTGAGGCAGGCGGCGGAACCACTGAGCTAAATCCCCAGCCTGAAACTTTGTATTTTTAATAGTTCCTTAAATCTATGGGTTTTTTTTGGGTTCCCAAGCAGAGACAGAAGGGTAGAATGAAACAAATATGGTCAGAATTAAGAATGTTAAAACATTAAAAAAATTTAACAAGCTAGTGATTCCCACTATTAAATGCAATTAAATGGCAGTTTGGGTAATATCTTACAAACCAAAAAGAACAGAGTATTTTTATCTCAGTCATAAAAGAGGCACTTGAGCAGCAAGGGAACTGGAAAAAGGTGGTAATGGAGAAGATAAGACTATGGATATTCAAGACATTTGGCATTTTTTGTCCCTAAATTCAAACTTAATTTGAGTTCTAAATAAATCAGGCACAGAAACCTTATTTCAGACTAAAAGTAAAAGCTTAATCAAATAAAGAGCAGAAATACTTCAATGTGAAACAGACACGAGTTGGAATCCTAACTCTAATAGTTATGTGATTTTTACCTCTTTCAGTTTCAACATCTGGAACATGGGGTTAATATGATTAAAGCTGATAGGGTCAGCAAGAAATTAAACAAAGAAGCCTATAATATATGTAAAGTGCCTGGATCACAGGAGGCACTCAGTAAATGCTCATGGCCTTTTCCTTCTTCCCTGACCCCTCTGGAAATTAAGTTTGACAGATAAACAGCTTCTCTTTACTCTCAAATCTACTGGGCTAAGATAAAGATAGAAATAACTAAATGGAACAATAAATTTCCTTGATCTGAAATTTTACAGTACATAAGTAATGAAATAAAAAGAGATAGGAAGAATGATGGAAAGATAAAACCTATATGAAAGTTATTAAGATACTACTAACCATTTCTATTTTCTTCCTAGTGATGATGAGATTATATTTCATACTCAGTGAAAGGAAAAATCACCCAAACTTTGAAAAGTGAAATTCAAAGTATCATAAGAACAAAAACTACTGCCATTTTCCAGATGTTTTTATGAAAAAACAACTTCAAAGTCAAAGTAAGGCCTTTCAGTCATTCAGCTGTGATGACCTGTTTAGACACCTACTGTATGCATAATGCTATGGCACAGAGGGTGCATACAAAAAAAAAAAGGTGAGAACACTTTTTAAAAGGCATATTACATTCCAGGTGGTGTTACTTTAGTGTGACAGGGGTGCCACAACAAGATTACATGGAGGGTGGCTTAAATACAGAAATGTATTTTCTCCAAGTTCTGGAGGCTGAAGTCCAAGAACCAGGTGCTGTCAGGGTTGGTTTCCTTGGAGGCTTTTCCCCTTGGCTGACAGAAGGCTGCCCTCTGGCTGCCTCTTCACAGGACTGCCTTCTTACACCCGCACCCTGGGGGCTCCCTGTGTGTCCAGATCTTCTCTTCTTATAAAGAACCAGCTGGACAGGATCAGGACCACCCTAACAGCCTCCTTTTATCATAATCACTCCTTTTAAGGCCCTATCTCTAAATGTAGTCATATTCTAAGATCTTGGGGTATACACTTTAGAGGAACACATTTCAGCCTGTAAGAAAACATCATCTCATTTAACCACTGCTCAGTTTACAAATGAGTAGTTAGGCCCTGAGAGAATAGATAATGCATCAAATATCACACAGTCAGTTAAAGTGGTGGAACCAAAATTTTAACCAAGGCCTAAATAGCACCAAGGCTAATGTTCTTTCTGCTATTCACATGTCTTTGAAGCCATATAAATCCAGTTGGAAAGATATGTTACTGACCGACGAAATTTTCAAAAAGGGGCTAGGTATATGGAGGCATTTAGTCACATGACATGCATCATCATATGGAAAGAATAAGATTCAGGATTAATAACCATTTATAAAACACTTACTAAATGTTAGGCTAGGTTCCTTCACAAAAAAGACCGTTGATCCCCTCACCTGAGGAACTGCTGACCCAAAGCCTACAAATAATCCTAAATCAATGGAAAGCACAATAGATAGAACCTTTTAGAACAAGTACCTTAGATAGGATTACCTTGACATCTCTTTTCTTCTGCATTTGAGTGTATGTATAGCGACATATATGTGAAATCCCTAATCTGCTTCACAAGTTTCTACTCCAGAGGTGATCTATACAATGCATTAGTGCGCTTTCAGCTCTATAGGATCTCAGTATGAAAGTCCAACAGCCCATGCTCTCTCTCTCTTTAGGCTCCCACTTGTGTTTGCACGAATGAGTACTAGGCTACAATGTGGTGGGCTGGCACCTGCTCAGCCCTCTGGGTTGACTTTATATTGTTTGTCAAAGTTTATTAAAAGTATCATAATACTTTGTACTTTACTTTCTAACTACATTTTATCGATCTATATTCTATGTTAAATTATATTTGTATAATTAATAAGTTAAATCATTTATATTCCTACATTATGTTAAAATGTTTCTGAAGAAAGCCAGTCTGGGTATGCATGCTAGAACACATGACTTATAGCCTAGTACATACTAACTCTTACACAAAAATTTCTGGATAAGGTCTATTTCTTCTATACTTGGAGAGATCTATATCTATATCTGTCTATATCTATATATCTATATTGACTCTGTTAGTAGCATCTCTAGTATATTTTATATATATTAAACTAATTGTAAATCAGTGAGCAAAGTAAAATTTACTACCTAGAAGTATCTGCTTTCCATTAAGTGAAAATATGCTGATCATTCCTAGTCCCCAAATCTAAAATCTGAAAAGTTTCATAATCTGAAGCTTTTATAAATCCTAGCATGACACCACAAGTGGAATATTCCACACTTGACCTCATTTGATGGGTCACAATCAAGAAGCAAGTACACTAAAAATATTGTGTAAAATTATCTTCAGGTTATGAATATAGGGTGTATATAAAATATAAATGAATTTCATGTTAAGACTGAGTCTCATCCCCAAGGTATGTCATTTTATATATATATATATTACATCCAAAAAATTCCAAAGTCCAAAACACTTTTGTTTCCGAACATTTTGGATAAGGGATACTCACACCTGTGCCAACACTAACATTTCCAAATAAAGTTCTAGAAGCCTAATGGCTACATGCACTAAATGCATTAATTTTCTCCATTCTATGAAATCCCATTTTGAATTCTATTATCTGCAACAGTTAACTGTAGCAAGGTAACTGGCATGAATCAGAGTACTGTGGTTTTTCTGAAGAGAAAGCCTCTTGCAAATAGCTAAACAAAAGCAACATGCCAACTATAATATTTAGAAATTGAGGTATTATCATTAATTTATGATAGAATTTCTGGTTAAAGACAGCTGACTAGCTAATCACTTTTGCTTTAATTACTGTTCAAATCTGTTCAGTGATTTGCTAGGCTGATGTGTTGTACATCAGGAAATACCTTTGAAATGCAGACACTTAGTCAACTTTCCTAATGCTTACTTAGCCTTGTGCTAAGCTGAGAAAGCTATTACCTACCCAGCAGTGCTCAGGGAGTAAGAATAAAAAAGCTAAGCTGCTTTTTAGCATAGTAAAAATTTACTGACTTTTAACTATGATGTACAGTTCTTGTCACTTATTATAGGGGCCTCAAGAGCCTCCACAAGAAGCCTGACTTATTGTAGAAATCCATTATTTTTTTTAAGGTAAATTCTATGAATATTAATTGCATTATATTAAAAAAACAAGTAAAAATATATTTCAAAGTTTGATTTGATTTTAAATATTATTCATCCTTCTGTTTTTTTCCCCAAGATTATGAAGAATACCAAACAGCATTCTTATGGATAACTGGAGTTCAGTTGTGATTTTTCCAAACTGTCTTAACTGAGTGTGGTGGGTGGAGAAGGTGGGAGCAGTGTGTCAGAATCAGGAGAAAATGGAAGAAAAGACAGAGAAGTGATATACATAATTTGGAAACCAAGCAGTGCTTTTCTCCAATATTTTCATGTGTTTCAGTTACAGTAGTTAATGTTTTGAAATTCCAAGTAATATTAAAGTAGGGTATGTATTGGAAAGGAGGCCAAGGAAAAGTAGTCTAATGGAATTTTTTAAAATCTCAAGAAATTAGGGAATTTTTTGTCTCCAGATAAAAGCACACACTGAAGGCATCTGATGAGTGTTTTGAATAGAAACAACTGCCAATAAACTCAAAATGCACATAACTCAAAAAGTATATCTGTTAGTATATGCAATGATAATTTTAGGAAGTAGTGTCCAGGGACTGAACAGCGTGACTGTCTAACTCTGAGGGGATAAATAAGCTGGTAAATCCCCCAAAAAAGTAAGACACCTTTGCAACTCTGAGCACACATTTTTATTCTAGCATTTGGTGTCTCCAGCTGTTGTTAACTCTGCAAACTTTCATAGGAAGAACTGTTTAATATCCTTATCTCAACTTTCTGGTGCCTTCCATACAGTGAACATGCAACTGGGGGTACACACTCAGGGTGAGAACTGCCCTGATCCCTGGATTTCATTCTCCTCCAGCAGGGTCTCCAAACAACTTAGATTTACAAGGTAGATTTTTTTTGACTTTCAGTTCCAGAACCATATTACTCCATGACATTTTCACAGAATATATCATTTCTTACTTGCTGCTAGGTCATTAGTCACCAGTAATGTTCAAACCAATCAGTTCTTTCAGCTGGAGAGAGACTGAAAGAATGCTTTATTACAGGCCCTCCTAACCCAGTGGCTCTGTGTACATATGTGATGGATCTCCTGAAGTCCTACCTCCAGCTTTAGAACATCATGCTGAAGTTTACGCTGAAATTCGAGGAAGTTTTTGATCGTCAGCTTCCCTTTGAGATCAGCTCCAAAAAAGTAGGTTGTAAGGGCGGAACATAAGCCAGACTTGAGGGTGTTGCCAGTAGTAGGACGATCTCTATGACGCATTCCCATACTGGTTTGGGAGCGAATGATGCTTTGAACCTAAAACAACAAACCCATATCCAGAAAATAAATCACAGAAGTGAAAAAGCAGTGAAAAAATAACTACCATTGACTATGTGCCTACACTGTACAACAATTATCTCTTTTAGTGCATACAACAATCTTATGAGGTAAGACCTATTATTATGAGATTGAGGCACACAGAGTTGAATAACTTGTTCAAGGTCAAGTGGCTAGCAAGTAGCAGAACCAGGATTCTAAAACAGACAGAATGACATCTTTATAATAGGGATCCATTTAGAAAATTCCTCTTCAGAAAAGAGTAAGCATTTGTTTTGGGTGGCTTAATACCTCTCTCACACAACTAGAATAATCATCCACTTCACAATGATATCTTCTATATTCTGGCAGACTTTTAAAAAATCCCACATTTGTCACTATTGCCTCTCCAGCTGGGATGAGAAGCAGCAGAGGTATAGGCAAAGTCTTGACCTTTACAACAGATAATACATTTATCAGAAGGATACATGAGGGCCAAGGATTTAGCTCAGTGGTTCTGCCACTTGCCTCACAAGCGCAAGGTCCCGAGTTCGATCCCTAGTACCAAAAAAACAAAAACAAAAACAAAAGCCACAGAAGGATACATAAAATGCAAAGTTGGTATGAAACAATACTCCAAGAAACACAGGAAATTTGGTTAATCTTTGAGAAAGGGTAATTTTTGGGACTAGTAACAGTGGCCTTAGTAAATGAGGGCTTTCAGGCATGTCTATGATTGCTAAGTTTTTATACCACTTTCATCTCTTCTCTAGCAAATAAAATCAGCTATTCAGAATAATTAAAAATCAGATAGGTTAGAATAAATAATAAAGGTATGTTATAGAAACAATACATACAGCTTTGTGGGTGATGATTTTTAAAAATGCATAATACTAGCCAGGCGTGATGCTGCATGCCTGGGATCCCAGCACTCTGGGAGGCTGAGGGAGGAGGATCAAAAGTTTGAACCCAGCCTGGGCAACTCTGCGACTTAGCAAGACTCTGTCACAAAATAAAAAATAAGAAAGGGCAGGGGGTGTAGCTCAGGGCAAAACCCTTTGTTCAATTCCCAGTTCTAAAATAAAAAAAGCATGATACTTAAAACCTTAAGATTTGTAAGTTATTTACTTATAAAAAAGCAGATTTACTTATAAAAATTTAAAGAAATTAGGTTTTTTAAAGATATTTTTTTCCCTTTATAAAATTAATTCCTGTTTATTACAATAAAGGCAAAAAATAAAGAAATAAAATAGGAAGTAGTAATTTTCTACAAGAAAACTGTTGAAACATCTTTTGTTTATATATGCATATATACATGCATACTACATAAATGTGCATATGTATGTATATATGCACAGACATTGTTTTCCATAAGTAAGATTTTACTCTAACTTATATTAGTAATGTGACTTTCTTCAATAATTACTTTTTTGGTATTCTTTAAGAATACAACATTCTATTGTATGGAATTTAACCAATCCTTTACTCACGACCATTGAACTTGTTTCTCCTTTTTTGATATTATGAACAAAGCAGCAATGAACATTTTACACTTTCTTGGGTTGTCTATTTATTTCCTCACAGTAAAGTTTTAGAAGAATTGAAAGACTGCAGGGTATGCTCATTTTAAAATATTAATGCATACTGCCAAATAGCTCTCTGGAGAGGGTGGGTCAATTTGACACATTTACTAACAAATTCAAGTCTTTATATGTTCCTAATGTTTTGGGTACTCTTTCAACAGAATAACATGGTGAAGTAGAAAACAAAACCTTTGAAGTCCTTTTCAAATCCACAACTTTCCAGCTATGTCCACTTGTACAAGTTACTCAACCCCTCTGACTCTCAGTTACTCTGATTCTTAGTTGATGTAAAATGGGGACAATATTTCTTGCACTTACAAGGTTGTTGTGAGGATAAAATATAACGTATACAACTGTTCCTAAAATAAAGAATTTTACACAGAAAGAGCATTCAACAAATGATAGCTATTATTACCAATTTTGATTAGACACTTAATCTTAATATCATAATGACTTAGAAATAAATCCATCACTGATTTTAGATTTAAAAGGAGTACAAGATGATATAACTTTATTAAGTCCTTTATTAAATCCAAAGCATATGAAATGTATTTTAATTATTAATATATTTTAAGAAACTCGCTAGCACAACTTGCCTGTTCAAACTCCTCCATGTCTACTTCTCCATCTCCATTCAGGTCAAACATCTTGAAGGCGATTTCAAAATTTCTCTGAGGAGCTACAAGTACAGAAGGAAAAAGAGAGGCAGGGAGGGAGGGAGAAGAAAATTATTTGGAAGCCATTAGCCAAAATCAAATAATTTCTTTAAGAAAAGTAAAATGGTGGGCTGGGGATTTAGCTCAGTGGTTCCGCCGCCTGCCTTGCAAGTGCAAGGTCCCGAGTTCACTCTCCGGTACCAAAAAGAAAAAAAGAAAAAGAAAAAGAAAAGTAAAATGGTTAAACACTAAAATAACATCTAAGTCAGAAAATGATATGATGTTTATCTAGATCAGCTTTTTAGTGATATTCCTTAATATTCAAAGAAAACTCTACTGTGATGAGTAAATACAGCACTTGTCTATCTTTGTTTCAACACTTTTTCTTAAATACTTTGCTTTTTGGACAGCACCCTCTTTGCTGTGATATTCCATTTCCCCCTTTTTTTTTTTTGTAGGCTGGGGATCGAACCCAGGGTCTCACACGTGCTAAGCACACACTTTACCACTAAAGCTGGGTAATATTAATGTTGTTGCTCTGTTGCTTAAATACAGCATCGTTTATCTGGGCAAGAAAGTCTGTTTGGGTAAGATATTGCTGCAAAGCAAGAAGTTGGAAGTCTAAGTCTTTGTCTTGCCCTTAAATCAAGCTGGCTTTCTACTTTGTTTTTTCCTACTCTCTCCGTTCTAAGCACAATCAGGAGTTCTCTGTATGTCATTCCACCAGCAGGCATTTCCAGTAGTTTTATACTAGTTTACTCATTCTTACCACTGCTCTTTGGAAGAGCAGAAAAGCATACTGTGAGCTATTTAGCATCCTATTTTGATCATGTCACAGATGTTAACATAAATTACTGAGTAAAAGTACCCTTAAGAGGAAAAATTAACCTAAAGTTTAAGAAACAAAATAGGGGAGCTGTGCACATAGCTCAGGAGCAGAGTACATGCCTGGCAGGCATGAGGTGCTGGATTCAGTCTCCAGCATCACAAAACTAAATCATAAAAACATGCAATGCCTGACAAGATGGTACATATTTTCTTTCCCTTAAGTGAATAATTATTCACTTAAGCTCCACAATACTTCTTTGGTGTTCCAGGACCAATCAAAATATAATTAGTATATTTTGTGCACTGGAATAAAACAAACTTAACAGCTCTTCTCCTTTACCATGCTAAATGCTCTGATAAAAAAAACTAAGTTGCTTAGTTCCTTCCTCTGATGCTTCAAATTTACAGTGATTTAGATAATAAACCAAAATAGGTACTCTACATATTCTAACTCCAATGAATTAAATTTTCACTTAATATTATATTTAATAAAAAAGTAAAGATTATATATAGAGAAAAAAATGAACAAGCTTTAATATTATGCATGACTGTGGAGTATCCATATCCCCATGAATTTGTCAATATCAACATCTTCTGGGCTTAAATTCCATTTTCAGATAGCTAGCCAGCTAGGCTGGTTAAATTCCTGGTTTTTTTTGTTGTCTAGGTGAACCATGTGCCTCTCAGCTCCCAATTGTCTGCTTCACTTGATACTGGCTTCTAAAAGATTTGCTCTTCTTTAGGCTAGAACTACAATTGCTGGGAAGGTCATAGCTGGGAGAATTAGATCGTTGTATATTTACTGCCACTTCTCAGTTTTTTCCTACTTGTTTTAGTGTAATCTTTTACTGAGAAGTTACTCTGTGCCAAGCATTGAGCTAGATAATTTCAGACTGTGTACTGTTTGATTTTGTACTCTCAATTATGAAAGTTTGTTTTTTTTGGTACTGGGGATCGAACTCGGGTCCTTGCGCTTGCGCAGCAGGCAGCGAAACCACTGAGCTAAATCCCCGGCCCTCAATTATGAAAGTTTTGATTCTATTATTTTTTAAGCAGAGGAGGAAACTGAGGCTCAAAGCAATTACATAAATAACTAGCTCAAAATCACACAGCTGCTGAGTGTGGTGGCACATGCCTGTAATCCCACCACTCAGGAGGCAGAGGCAGGTGGATTGCCATGAGTTTGAGGCCAGCCTGGGCTACATAGTGAGTTCAAGGCCAGCCTGAACTGCATGGTGAGATCCTGTCTCAAAAAAAAAAAAAAAAAAAAAATCACACAGCTAATATGTGGAAGAACTGGGAACTGAAGCCCATAAATGTTTCATTATGCTCCACAGCCTCTACTATGAATACAGAGGTACTTATCATGACAAACATGTCACTCTTTATGCTTATATGTTTTGACCTAGAAACAAAACAACAAAACATAACTCACTGGTTGCATCAGTCTCCGCAAAAGTTGGGAGTTTCAAGTTGTTATCTCAAGGAGATACTCGATATCAAAGAAGCTATGCATATTATACTCAATAGGTTAGACCTGGCTGTACTAACTGGAGATCCATTGGCAAATTAGACTCTGATAAGATTGTTATTTGTCTTTCAAAATTCTGAATGTGAATCTTTTTAGACAGGAGTGCATTCTCTCATTCTTCCCTCTTGTGTCACACTTGGTTCATTTCACTCATATACATTATTTTCCTAATCTCTGCAGATACTCAAATATGAAGCAATGGCACCCAGTGAAAGTTTTAAGTAGGACAGTGTCACAATCTGGCTTATAAAGGACTTTTCTGGCTCCTATAAATGTTGGAAATGTGAACTGAGGTGATGACAATGGAAATGGAGAGGAGGAAACTAATTTGAAATGCCTTAAGGAGGCAGAAATTATATAACTTAATGATTAGTTATCTGTGATGGGTTGAAAGTGAAGAGGAATGACAGTATTACTGGTTTAGACTACTGTGTAGCTTGCATGTGCCTTACCAAGAAATGAAGTAGATGGAAAACAATTGAAAAAGACAATGAATCCAGGTGGGATCTGCTGATTTTGAAGGGCCCATGCATATTCAGATGGAGATGTTCAGGAGACAGTGGAAATACGATCAAAGGTTAGAAGAAAGCTGGAAGCTATTGGCATGTATGTAGTTAGCTACAAAGAGCCTGAAATGAAGTTGCCCAAAGGGAACTGAGGGATGAGGAGAAAGCTGAGTAAAGGGTAGAATGCAGGTGAAAGTCAATATTTTAGGGGCAGGGAAAGACAAAAGAAGCAGGGAGAGACAAGGTGGCATCACAACCTTAGAAGGAGGAATACAGTCCAAATTAATAGAAATAGGAAAAGTGACAGCGAAGTCAGTACATTCCTATACATGGATTAAAGCAGCATTCCCAATCTTTATCTCCACGGATGACAGAGGTTATAAAGGGTGCTTAAAATTTCAGTCTATCATATTTTTTCATTTTTCATTATTGTCCTGTGAGTCCTGTGAAGGCATGTGCCCAGATCATTTAAATGACTGAATGAGTTATTCTAGCAAATTAGTTAAATTTCCTCCTACAGCCAAGGTTAATTGCATTTTACACAACAAAGCATAGCCTGTACTGCCTGAGCTTTCTCTCTTTTTATCCCAGCTACTTTCACACAGAGCATGCACTGTATGTGGAGCTACTTGGAGTGCTTGTTAAAATACATGTGAGGATATCCCAGAGGCTACACTCTTGTGCTCTGGTCACTGCTGAGCCAGGCTGGACAGCAGTGGCTTTGCCAGCCTTTCAGGGAAGGGCTTCCAGAGGGAGCAGTCTCAATTGTTTCAGTCTTTATCTGCTGAGGTCAAAGCATATGAGACAAACAAGACCCAAACCAGCTTGCTTTCAGTTCAATATTCTACATAAAATATGCTGTCAGGTAATTCCCTATTTCCCTTTAAATGGAGGCTTTACAGTAATTTTTAAATCTAGCTATTCGGGAACGCTTAAGATGTCCTGGGTTTATGCTAACTCATGACCTGTTTCCACAGAAAGGTTCTGAAAGAGAAATTCTTTGAAGCCCAGGCTACTTATAGAGTGAACAGGGAGGCTTACAACCTTTCTAAAAACAGTATAATCTACTTTCTACATGATTTCCAAAATGGTCTTACCATATGTTGGAAATGATTAAAATTTACATGATAATCTTTGCTACCATGATATGGAGCTATATGAGGTCTTTTCTGGATTAAAAATCCATTTTTGTAATATTATTCTACCACTATCAACAATGACAGCAATAACAATTCTAGACTTTCCCAGAGCAGATTTTTCTACTTTGCTTTAGTACTAAGCAAAAAAAGCATCCTTTTCTATGTATAGTAAGTCAAATAATCAGACAGCAACACCACTAGCTGTCCTAAGTCTTTGCATCTGTTTCACTTACTATTCTTTAATAGAAAATGAGTAAGACTAGCGCTCTAATTCTGGCTCTTCCAACATGAGTCACTTGCTGTCTTAAATTCCTTTTTGGAAGTACTGATGGAATGATAAAAATGAACAGGCTACACTTTAAACACATTTATTAATTTCTGTTGGTTTAATATGCCAACCAAAGAATTCCTACCTATACCATTCCTGTATTAAAATGTTGCCACAGGATAAAGTATAAGTAATATACAGTAGCAGAGAATTCTGAGTTAGGAAAAATTTTAGAATATTATCCTCTATTCCATCATCAACCTTTCCACTAAATTGGTATGGGTGATCACATACCCTCTGTCTGATTGAGACTGAAGTCACCATTTCTGAGGCCTAAGCATTGTTGATCACATTTTCTTTCTTATGCAGAACTTAAATCTGTCTAGCTCTTACAAACTGTCATAATTTAATTTTATAAATAATACAAAGCTATTACCATGTCTCTACTGAGGTTTCTCATAACTTGCTTCCAGATCCTCAACATTCTTAGAGCCTTCTGTGGACTATTTTAAATGGCCAATGCCTCCCATAAATATCCAAAACATAATAAACTCTGGACATGACATGATTTTCAGAACAATGGAACTGCATTTTTTTTTTTTTTGGCAGAATAATGGACTAGGATTATTACATGAGGTCCTGGTGTCTTGCTTTCTACATAACACTCGAGTTGGAGGATGGAATAGAAAACCTATATGATTAGATTTTAAAAAAACATGCCCTTCCCTCTATTTTTCCGAATGCTTCAAGG